ATACTCTTTCCACTACACAATGCTACCTAACGTTAATTAGCAACCTGAATACTTTTAGGCCACACCTTTCAAATCACTGGAATAAAACAACCAATTTCTTTTTCTTCTGACCTGATGAATATCGGAACTAAAGGTAAAAACTGGTGCCTTCTTTATCCCATCTACCTCTCCAAGGACCTTAAGGAGCTGTAACTAGTTCCTCTGGAGGGAAACTTGTCTTGCAGGTTCTCACTTTAGAAGTGGTTTGTGTTTATATAGTTCTTTGGCATCTGAAAGTTAGCCTTTACATATTTTATATTTCAAAACTTTTTGTGGATTTCAATTTACCTCCCCACTGGGTACTTTTTGCATGTCATATCTTGTAGTTGAGAATGCAGCAAAGAATAGGTGTTCTATCATTTACAACACTGAGCATGTAAACTAGTCAAAACCAGCATTTTTGCAATACAGGATAATTTCATTTAGTACCTGTTTGCTAGGTGCAGAATTATTTTGACACATGAAATGTACCTATGACTCAACTTATGCATCAGATGACTCATGGATTCATAGAATTCTAGAGTTGGAAGGGAACTTTAGATACAATCATCTCATCTAACACACTCATTTGACAGATGAAATTGCTTGCCCAAGGTCACACAGGTGACTAATTGCAGAGTTAAGACAATTTAATTTTACATAACACTTGAGGGATCCTAGAATAACAGAATTTTATATTTGGAAGAGACTTTATTTGCCATCAACCAATCCAACTGGCCATACTCCACCCCCTCAAAAAAAACCCTAACATATTTGTCAAGTGGTCAACCAGTCTCTGTTTGAAGGCCTCCAGTGAGGAAGTATATACAGACCTCTCTGTTGTCATTGTCAGATTGACAGATTGCCTCAGAACCCTTGAGATCACCAAACCCCACTACTCTTCAATTCTTCCCTAAATTTTTGAACCCAACTGTTTTATACTGCTATACTTGTTTTGAAAACAGAAATTTATTCCAATGTGATTGATACATTAGGGACCAGTTTGAGCATAAAGAAATTTCATCATTAAGGAAAACTGTGCATCAGGAGGATAACCTCTACGGATTGTAGGGGTGCTATCAGCATGCAGTAGGGCCCGTGGGAAGAAGAGATACCAGATTCCAACTTGGGGAGAGTGCTGCAGAAGTCATTTTCTTCTATCCATGATGTGGTGAGAGCTACTGAGGGTTGAGAATGGTAGAGAACACTTCAGGGAGTAAGAAGTGGGGTCTTGGGAAAGGAAAGACAGGGAGGCACCCAATGTATCCTTCTACTCAATCCAGAAGAGATGATTACTAGCCCCTTTGATCCTCATCTCTACACTCCAGTAAGCTGCCTAGCCAGAGATGGTCAAATGGAAATGGACCCATCATCGTGTGGGGGATGGTCCCCAGGAGCACCTCAGGGAAGAGGCCACAAGGTATCCCTTTCTGGTCATAAGGTGATCCTACCAATGCCCCCACACTGGAGCTGGTATGGTCAGTGACCCAGATCCCAAAATGGGCATTCTCATGTGTGATTGCCATGGCTTCCCTTGGGATTGAGTTTGGGTGCCTACTTCCAATTTCTTTGTCAAGGTAAAGTACCATATTGATTGTCTGTCTTCCAGTGCAGTAGGAGCTTGGGTGGTGGAAGGTTAGTCCACACCCAAACACTATCCCCACTCTATCTTCCTTGGCTGTAGGAACTGGGGTACAGGCCAAATAACAACCCATGACTGAAGGCACCACCATTATTTGTCATAGTATTTATGCATTTCTTAACAATTTGATGTGTATAAAGCTGCACTGTCATTTTATTAGATTCTTATCTTTTTTAAAAAAATTTACCACTGTAGTTTTTGGGTGCTGTGGCTCTAATACCATTTCCCCCATAAGGCCTGTGATTTTGTTATACAATTTTGCATAGCACCGTCATAGCAGATTCACTTATATTTCCACTTCTAGCAAGCTCTATTTTTAGGGAGTTTCTATTTTTCTCTGATATAGAATGTAAACTTGTCCCTTTGCCACTTTTACACTGTTCCTAGTTCTGTCCTCTGAGACAAAACACTTATTGTGTACCTCTCTTCCATACAACGGCCCTTCAAATGTGTAAATACAGCGATGTCTAGTCTTCTCTTCCCCAAGTAAAACAATCATAGTTCCTTCAAATGAAGTAGAAGTTCCTCACATGAAGTAGACTCAAGACTTGGAATTATCCTAGATGTTCTCAAGGTTATAATGTACTTCCTATCTTTTGGTCCCATGAAAAAATATGACCAGGGCAAAGTACAAAGTACAGAAGGGTTATCATTATCACCTCCTTATTTCTGGATGCTTCTTTCCACTCACCCCTCCTGCCTCAAGGTGACATTTGCGTTTTTTGGCTATAACATCACGCCGTTGATCTTATGGCTCATTTAAGTCACTAGTTTTTCAGATTGATTGCTTTCTAACCATGCCTCCCCCATCTTGTATTTGTGAAGTTAATTTTTGAACCTAGCTGTTAGACTTTATAATTGTCCCAATGGGGCAGCTAGGTGGCACAGCGGATAGAGATTCAGGAGGACTGAATTCAAATCTGGCCTCAGACACATAACGTTTACTAGCTGTGTGACCCTGGACAAGTCACTTAACCCCTTTGCCTAACCAAAAAAATAAAAAAAATTGTCCCAACAAAATTTAATTTTATTAGATTCAGCTCAATGTTTGAGTCTGCCAAGAGCTTATTGGATCCTAGATCTATCACCCAATATTTTAGTTATTTTCCCCATGTTTTTGGGTTATCTTCAAATTTGACAATTATTCCATTTATGCATTTGTCTGAGTTACTTACAAAAATGTTGAGAAGTTCAGGACCAAGTACAGATCATTAGGAGACACTGATGGATTGAGACAATAAGTTTATCAACTGCTATTCTTTGTTCATTGTACCTATTCTCTAGGGTTATCTAGCTTGGTGATATACACAGATAGTCCTCTGTCTTCCCGATTTGCTTGAGCTTAAATCCTTTTGTAAAAATTACATTTGCAAAGCACACACACACACACACACACACACACACACACACACACACACACACAGAGATATGTCTTTATTGTCTTTGTTACTTATACTCCTTCCCTGGTCAGAAATTTGTCATCTTTATATTTTAAACCATGGTCCAAAAACCCAAGTATCATTCTCAGAAAGCACCTTCTTATGGTGGTTTTTAAGGGTCATTTTCCAGACTTTTCTTTTTTTTACATGAGGTTATACTGTAGTATCAAGTATCCTGTGCACTTGCACTGCACTCAGAAACCATGTTCACATCCCAAGTCAGTTTTTCCCTTCTACACCATATGGCTTCAATGGGCAACAGTAAGGAAAACATCCCCTGTGTCCCATTATCTGAAGTTTCTTATCCAAGAATTCATAGTCATTATCAACACTTCTAAGGTTAATTCTGTCAGTATCATCTGTGCTCATGAGAATCACCAGAAGTGGGTAATAGTAATCTGTTTTTATCAAAAATCCTTCTTGAGAGGTTCTCTGTTATGTCTTTAATAGATGCCTAGGAAAAAACAATAGACCTCTCTATTGTCATTGTCAGATTGACAGATTGCCTCAGAACCCTAGGGAATCACCAAAACCCGGTACTCTTCAATTCTTCCCTAAATCTACAATCCAGTCCTCTGGCCCTTACTGAATTACCTCTCACCTCGAAGTTTCTGTGGTTCCACTATATCATTCCTTGGAGGACAAGTAGATGCTTCCTCCACCGAACACCTGACTCCTTTTTCAGGAAGACCCTCAAACCTATTTTTTTTTATCATGCCAAGTTAGCTGTCCTTTTCATTTCCTTCCTTTTTTATGTAGCATTTTTCTCCTCTGCAGCTTCCAAAAGAAGTCAGATCTCCCCTCCTGCACTTCATTGCACACTAAAACCCCATTGAAGCCTTGCTTCTATTTCCTTAAGGGCACTAGATTATCCCTAAGAACCTAAAGTGTGGTGAAGCATTCCTTGAGTCCCTTCACCTTTTCCTCCAGGAAGGAAATCAGCCTTTATTGGAACACAGATAACAATCACAGGACTTGGGCAGAAATGTAAAAACATCACACACTCAATGCAAGTTTTCAAAATTTCCCCTGTTCTCCATTCTGGTTGAGATTTCTCCCATTTCCCTTTGGATCAACCGCTTGTTTACAGCATGTTTTGAAGCCTTCCTCATTTGTCTGCAGCTGCACAGCTTGGTTTTGACCCAACCATTATTGTACCCCTCCAGAAAAAAGTTTATCAACAGAAAACTCATCATTACAAAAATTGCCTCAGCTTTGGTACTCATGCCTCATCAGCACCCTCAGTTATCTCTGTCCCTCTGATTGGAAGACTGGGGGTGGAACAAAAGAAATCTTCCCCAAACCTCAATTTAAAGAGAGCCCAGAAGCTCATTCAGCTCTTCATTTCCCTCTAGCTGCACTTCTTGGTTTCAATTCTACCATCCTCGTGACCCCACACTAGGTACCTTCTGCCACGCTTTTCAGCTTAATTTTGTGTGTTGTCTGCCCCCATTAGACTGTAAGCTCTTAGAGGACAGGGGCTATCTTTTTCTTATGTGTAACCCCAGTGTTGCACACAGTACTTAGCATATGCTTAATAAACATCTATTATATTGTATGGTATCATATTATATCACATTGTGTCTCACGTGGCTAAATTAATTTTCTTCCAAGCACCATGTAGCTAAAGTGAACTTTCTTGTGTCTTGTTTCTATGATCTTTCTATAATCCTATATATTTCATCTGTTTGTGTGGGTTATTATACATATACATATATACATACATGTACATATACATATATAATATAATTATCATCCTTATGTAGATTGCTAATAAATCCACATCCCAGGAATCATCTCCTCTTGAATTCTAGTCCCACTTTTCTCACTGCATAGTGGACATCTTTACATGGAGAGTCAAGGCCAGCTTTCCATAATCCCAGGGTGGCTCTTTGTCTTACCCCATGGAACTATTCAGCCTGGGAAAGCATAAGTAGATAGCTTTTCTGGGAGTCGAGGAACCGGCGTCCCATCATGTTTCTGTCCTTTGCTGCTGGCTGTGCAAGTTTTGGCAAATCACATAAACTCTCTGAGTCTCAATTTTTTTTCCTCAGACCTAAGTTGGAAGAGGTTGAATAAGATAACTAGTAGAATCCCCTTTGGTTCTAGAACTCTATGATCTAGAATCACAACACAAGTGCCTGTTTCACAAAGTCTGTCCTGGAATTCTAGCAAGAACTGAGAAGGAAGCAAGGGAGAGGAGGGAAGCTATCTATTTTAATGAAGCTACAGAATTCTTAGCCCACTTGCTCCCACTGTCACTTCTAAGGATTCAACAAACCTTTATTGTTGGTATAAGTGTACAAGATATCTTCATACTACATCATCACCCCCAAAAACAAACAAAGAAAAAATAATCTGGAAACTGGCCATCAAGTAAATGAGAGTGGTACCTATCCAGAATTATACAGAAGAGTAATTTAAACCTGTAATTTGTGTTTTTCCGTCCTCGTGTGAACTTTCATTATTCCTCGACTATGAGATTTCTTCTTTCCCATAGCTCAGTGGCAAGTGGCATAGTTTGGTATTCTACAAAATTGTATATGAAAACCCTTTGGAAACTATAAAGTACTGTATAAATATAAGATAGTATTAATATCATTATAATGTTATTTTATTACAATTTTGATATATTGGGTATTAGAAATTGAAGTGTTTGTTATAATGTATAATGTTAAGAATTATTAATATCAAAATCATATATATATACATATGTGTGTGTTTAGTTAGATGATACATAGATAGATAGATAGATACATAGATAGATAGATTCATAGATAGATAGATACATAGATACATAAATAGATACATAGATAGTTAGATAGACAGATAGACATATGCACAGGGTATTTCAAAATGCTTAGTGTAGTTTTAAGCTACTAATCTTTGGGATACCCTATATTTTACTTATTGATAATTGGAAAGTTGGCAGTATTTTAATTGTTCTTTCTTCTGTCTTAGGATTTATTTCTCTTCTGTATGGGAAACATTGTGATCTAATAGAAAGATAATTGGCCTAGGCTTCAAAAACTTGGAATCCCAGATCTATTTCTCCATCCCTTACCTCTCTCCTGACCTCCAGTCTCAATCACCAATTACCTATTGGACATCTCAATCTGAATGTCCCATAAATACATCACTTAACAAATACTTGATTGTTTGATCTCAAATTCGACATGTCCCAAATGAAACTCAGTATCTTTCCCTAAAAACTATCCCCTCTTTGTAGCTTACCTATTACTGTCAAGAACATCACTATTCTGTCAGTCACACAGGTCTGCTACCATTCTATCATTCACAACACTTCACTAGTGCTCACCTCACATATTCAATCTATCACCAAGACCTTTCTATTCTTGTTTCTCTCTTACTTTATTATCTGGCAACTCTGATCTTCTCGCTGTTTCTTATATACAACGTGCATTTTCACTGGCCATCTGCCCCACCTAAAAAGCTCTCTCTTATCATCTCTGCCTCTTGGCTTCCAAAACTCAACTCTTATCCCACCTTCTGCAAAGGAGCCTTTCCCCGTACCCATCACACTCCCTCCTGCTAAGGCTATGAGAATATCTCCAATTTATCATGTATCTTGTTTGGATATTGTTATTCATGCCTTGCTTTGTCTCCTCCACTAGAATGTGAGCTCCTGGAGTGCAGGGACCATGTAGTTGTCTTTCTTTGTATTCCTAATGCTTAGTACAATATGTGGCCAATAGAAAGTTTTAATGAAGGCTTGTTGACTGATGACTCTTATTAGGCACCTGGAACCTGCTTGAGGCCATGTGGCCCTCTAGGTCCTCAAGTCCTCAAGAACAAGAGTTCTGCGAAATTTGGATTCAGTCAAAGGGCCACACTTGAAGACCTAGAGGGCCACATGTAACCTTGAGGCTGCAGGTTCCCCAACTTTGCTCCATGATTCTATGCCACTATTTGAATGACTTTGAATGAGTCACCTATTTTCTCTGGGCCTGTTTTGTCATCTATAAAGTGAAGGCTATTGAACTAGCACAGATCTTTCATGTGCCTTCAAGCTTATTTTATGATTATCTCAGAAATGATGAGTTCATAGCAGCTCCTTTTGTGGTGGCAAAGAATTGGAAATTGAGAGGATGCCCATCCATTGGGGAATGGCTGAGCAAGTTGTGGTATATGAATGTAATGGAATACTATTGCGCTATAAGAAATGATTAACAGGCTGACTTCAGAAAAACCTGGAAAGACTTCTATGGTCTGATGCTGAGTGAAGTGAGCAGAACCAAGAGGACTTGGTACACAATAACAGCCACGTTATGCAATGACTAAGATTGTTAAACTGAACCCTTCTCATCATTACGAGGATCTAAGACATCTCCAGAGGCCTCCCGATGGAAAATGCTGTCCACATCCAAAGAAAGAACTATGGAAGTCGAATCGCCATCACTTATTTTTACCTTCTGTTGAGTTTTGTTTCATCTTTCTGATGGTTCCTCCTATTGGTTTTAATTTTCACTTGCAACTACACTAATGTGAAAATATGTTTAATGGGCATGTAAATGTAAAGCCTATATAGGATTGTGCACCGTCTTGGGGAGGGTGGGGGGGAGAAAGGGAGAGAAAAATTTTCAACTCAAAAGCATATGGAAGTGGTTGTTGATAAATCAAAGTAAATTAATAAAATTTAAATAAATAAATAAATAAAAGAAATGATAAGTTCAGGTACAGAAAAATATTCTTGAATTTTCAATTTTTTTTGGGGGGGGGCAAGGCAATTGGAGTTAAATGACTTGCCCAGGGTCACACAGCTAGTAAGCATCAAGTGTCTTGTCTGAGACTGGATTTAAACTCAGGTCCTCCTGACTCCAGGGCCAGTACTCTATCCACTGTGCCACCTAGCTGCCCCAAATTTTCAAAATTTTAATGCGAATTTAACCTATTAAAACTACAGCTATGGCCCCAAAGCCATGTATGCCCAAGTATACATTTTATCCGCCACCAAGAATATTTTTAGCTTTTTTCTATTGAATAAATCATCTTTAATTCTTCATTATATTTTAAAATGCAGATATTTTAAATATGCTCACAAAGATAAATGAACTGTAATTTTGATATTTTTCATGGCAGTCACTGAAATCTGAGACAAGAATGTTAGGGTAGAAGCTAAATTTTCTGAGAATTTCCACAACATTTAGACTATATATAAAGCATTCACGGAGCTCATTTTTTAAACTTTGATGTGGGATCTCTCAACACTATGAAATGAATAGTATTCAGATATCTAACAAATGGCTGTAAGCCTAAAATCAGTTGTACAGTCCCTAAACATGTGATTCTAGGGAATTTAAGCATTAATAATACATCATAGATAGACCACTAAGCCCTTTTCCATCTCAGCTTATGGGAAAAAGGGGATGGGGATGACTTTGGAATGTGTAGACGCTAGAAGATGTACCAGGAGCGAAGGAAACTGTTAAACATATAATCTAGAAAGCAAGTCTCAGTAAAGTCTGAATAGCAATTCATAAGGTACCTAGTTGTTAATGGGTTATATGAAAATGTCATAAAGTTATCCTGACTCCTCTGTGTTCATACTTCGGGGAAAGCAGACCTTATATGTTTATATGGAGCTGTAACATTTTAACTGTCTGTTGTCTTCAAAAAGATTCACTATATTACTCAGAGTGATGATACAGTAAGCCAGCACATAACATACATGGGGTGCTTAAATCATATGTAACCACTATGGAATCTAGAATAGGCTTATTGGAGCTATAACTGGTAATTTTGATACACAGAACAGTAGGCAAGGAGGAAGAGGAAGGGATACTCACCAGGGAATGAAGCCCCGGGGGGGGGGGGCAGGAACCTGTCCCAGGAGGAACCTGCCATCACCACCACCATCAAGAGTTGGACCAGGATGGGACAGATGACCAAGCAAGCTTTTAAATGGTGTTGTCTGCATCATCCAAATCTCCTACACTGCGGTGATGGGTGGGTGGTTTTGCCTTTGTAATGACTCTTCAGGTTATAAATACATACCAATAAATTCTGTGGACCAAAATCTAGATGCAAATGATCCAGTAAAATATAGAAATCTGTTTGAAATAGCAGCATGCAGATGGATAAAGGGTGTGGCATAGTGGATAGAATATTTGAGTTGGAGTCAAGAAGACATGAGGTTCAAAGTCGAAGTCTGATACTTACTAGCTATTGTAACATAGGCCAATATCTCTGAGTCTCAGTTTCCTACTCTGTAAAATGGGGAAATTTTCACCTGTAGTGAACTCCTCAATAAGGCTCAAATGAGTTAGAAGCAAAGTGCTTTTAAAAATGTCAGTTATTATTATTGTTACAGATATGCCATTTTGTCAATGAACCCAGCTAGAACAAAAATACTGTACCTAAACAGCTGCTATGCTCCTCTCAGAAAGTCTAGAGTCAAAAAGACCTGAACTGAAATCCATTCTCAGATAATTACTGTTCGTGTGACCCTGGGCAAGTCATTTAACCTCTGTTTGCCTCAGTTTCCTTATCTGTAAAGTGAAGATAATAACAGCACCTACTCCTAAGGCTATTGTGAGGATCAAATGAGATAATAATTGTAAAAGTGCTTAGCACAGTACCTGGCACATAGTAAGCACCCTATAAATGTTAGCTATTGCTGCTGCTGTTCTTGTTGTTAATTGTTCTATCAAGAGGCCAAATGAAACTCAGCTGTCCCTAGATACAGCATTTGAACTAGGGATTTTTGTGCACAAAACAAGGTGGAGGACCCTTACCCTGGGTGCAGCTGCTGAGGAAAAAAAGTGTATCCTGGGATGGTGCTGTTGGCACCCTAGAAGATCTGGCACCTTGGAACAAAGGCCCTGTATCCCTTGCTCTACCTACCTAAATCACTGAATTATAACGGCTCATCCTTGTTGGTGTCATTTTCTGACCATGAGAGATCAAGCATAAATTAATGAAGCCTGGAGACAACACATTCCATGTAAATTGAATGAATAGAAGTGGTGGGGAGGGAAGGAAATAATGTCACACTTGGGTCTATTTTGCCAAGGAAAGACTAGAACTTAGTGGAA